CCGGCCCCAGCGGGCGCCTTCGCGGAAAGGAAGGCAGCGCCAACAGGCGGCGGAATATCCCCGTGGTCGAGTCGGGGGAACGGGGACGCGGAGGGCGAAGGACTCGCGAAATCGTTGTTGTGGTGGTTAATTCAAAACTAATAAGCGTTATCTTTCATCGATAACGGTGGTTTCTGTAGACCATCTGGGAGACCTGAGCAGCTCAGTAAGCACTGCAGAATGGGTGAACGTGTTTCCATTGTAACGCTTCCTGTTGGACACTATTCATTTCCAGCTTTGTTAAGGAATAAACTGTAAAGCTAAAGTCGTGTGTTGGTGACCAGCTCTATATGTGGAGCCTTGTCCGCTATCTCAGAGCTCTGCACACTGCTTTGAAGACTCAGAATGTCATCAGCGAGTGTGAACATGGAGAAACTGCTGAACATCTTCTGTTTGGTTGGTTGCTTTTTTCCCCAGTGACTATCACAAGAAACAGAATGCCCTCAGAGCGCTTCAAAAGAAAGCTCTGGACAAGAATCCTGATGAGTTCTACTTTAAAATGATACGTGCAGAGCTCCAGGTGAGAATCTAAATTGCCTTCGAGCAGGGTTACACTCTGTTGCTCTAAGTAACATCTTTTTTTTTTTTTCTACCTTGTTTTTAATTTATGAATTAGTAAATAAATTAGCAGACTTGATTTGATGCCTGCGGAAGGCTTTGAAGAAAATGAGGGGCAGAGGACAAAAAGGTTCTTGTGCTTTTATTATTAGGAACCATAGTACACTATAGCTAGAATGGTGCCTGTCTGCAAGTGCTATGTTCCGTCTGGTTTTAGGATGGAGTCCATGTAATAAAGCAGCCAAAGGATGAAGTGACCCCCGAACAGGTGAAACTAATGAGGACACAGGATATTAAATATGTGGAAATGAAAAGAGTGGCAGAAGCCAAGGTAATGCTTCACTTTTTTGGTGTTTTCCAGTTAGCTGAGGATTGTTCTTTTTGTTGTGGGTTTTTTGTTGTTGTTGTTGGTTATTGTGTTTATGTTTAGTGAAATCTGATTTGTGTAATACTGGAAATGATAGATGGAAATGTCAGTGGAGTTCTGTGTAAAGAACCTAAAGATATACCAAATAATAAAAACTATACTATGTATTATTATAAAACACAGCAATTTCTCATGTAAATTTCTTACTTCACATTTATAAAGAATTGAGGGTTAATGTTATTGAAGTGGGTTGTTTGAATATGGTAGGAAGGCAATCAAGAGAAATATGACCCACTTCTGAAAATGTTTTATGCTCTGATGTTGATCCCCACACCATCACTGCAGATAAAAAATTAACGAGTCAGCTTTGAATTTTCCTTGGTATTCTTGCTGATGATTTCATGGTAATCGTTCCTACTTTGTCTGCCATACAGACAACTTACTGTTTTGAAAATTGATTTGTACATATTTGGTGGGGTAACACCAGAAATTACTGTTAACCTCTACTCAAAAAGGTTATTAAGACATGACAAAAATACAAACTAGATATATTTTCAAAGATTAAAAAGGAAGCAAGAGTTCAGATGCTTGAGAAATGAACAGGAATTTACTTCAGGGGGACATAATTTACGTTGGTATGGATGTTTGGTAAAGCAGATTATCTTTTCTTTCCTGCAGAAAATCGAGAGGCTGAAGTCGGAGCTCCATCTGCTGGATGCTGAGGGGAAGAATCCCAACAAGCACGTGTTCTTTCTTGATACCAAAAAAGAAGGTAAGATTTAAATAGGTTTTATCAGAAAACTTGTTCTGTGGTGCTTTATTGTGGGTTGTTTAAAACAGTATGGTGCTTTCTTTATACTGTTATCATCACAAAAGGTGGGTTTTTTTTCAGGACTAAGAATTCGTGTGCTCTAGAAATCTCTTTTGATAAGACCTCAGTTCTGCAGGAGCTATGTTGCTCAGGCTTCCATTGCTGACTGTACTTAAGCTACATGTTTGGAAGGTTTGCTGAGTGTTAGTCCAAGAAGTCCACGTGAGTTTATTCCTAAATTTCTTTTTATTTATAGTTCAGGAGTTTGATATTGCAACTCATCTGGATACTGTTCCAGAGCTCGTAGGTCGAGTGTACAACCGACCGACCATTGCAACATTGCAGAAAGAGACACTGAAAGGAGCTACTGAGCCTGCCCACTTAAAGGTACTGCCACTCTTTGTACTGTAGTTTTCTTAATGCTTTACATCTTTTCTGTAATAAGCACTAAAGAGGATTCATTGGACCATTTTGGAGGAGAACAGAGTTGTTCTGTTTTCTTAGAATTTTTATCGGTGACACAAGGCTGTGGTGGATGTCACTTAATCATCAAGTGCCTGGAGCCCACAGTCAAATCTTCTCCTGGACTGACATGGAGAACTTGTTCAGTTGTGTCCCAGTCCACTGTGGATTATAAATCAAGAGGTATGATGCATGGGCCAGAAAGGAAGGGTATAGATCTGATAAGGCAGTTTTTTGGGCAAAATTGATGTATTTCTCCTCCGTTACATGATGTACACCTGTGGGACTATCTTTTCCTTAGATTGCTGCAGTTTTAAGTGTGATTTTTGCAGCATCCACTGTTAAGTCTCCCCTCACACCTCACCCAAAAACCCTTGCACCCCTGAATAGGGATGTGAAGAAGCTTATTCCAGTGCAGACATATCTGTTGTTGGGTTTCTGATCTCATGGTATTTTTCAGTTAGGTTCTGAGCCTGAAGTGGCTTGAGATTCAGGATTTGTCTCCTCCTTTTTCTTCTTAAAGACATTTAAGCTATGTTCTCAGTTCCTGGCATTCCTAATTTAAAGTGTTTCACGATCCTTCAGGGTGAATTGCTTACACAATCAACTTTGATTCTGATGTTTTAATATCACAGCACTTCTGTCCTAGAAGTAGCTATGCTTGCCTTTAACACTGTAAATACTGCTTAATTAGTTTAGATGTGTTGGGCAGTCCTATAAGCTTGAGCTGGTATGTGTAAGGTAAAAATAAAGTTGTCTAAAATTGCCGATTGGTAGATTTGTAACCTGTTGTTTTCTGAGTCAGATGTCAGATAACAAACACCCTGTGGTCCCTTTCTTCTTGCCAGCTTTCTCAGTTTGGCTTGTCAGTAAAGCAGTTGGACAAGTTGTAGACTGACAAGTTTTCTCCTCTAAATGTCTGAGTCGTATTTTAAACATGTTGGGATCTGTTCTCCGTAATTTAATTACTTAAATCACACCTGCAGTAATACCATTTTTGTGCTGGGAAAGCCATCCGCTCTTGTTCGGTAAACGTGACCAAACAAGTTGCATTTTGGGAGGCCTCTGTGCAATTCCTAAGCACTTTAGGAATTGGTCTCTGGTCTTTTCTTCCTCCCCCTCCCCCGGGACAAACTGGGTTTTTATTAGGGAGTTAAATGTTAACTTGTACTCAACACGGTAATTCAGGGGATTTAGAAAAATGAAATTCCCGTCACTTACTGAACAAGGTTATGCAGCATCTGAACTCAGTTAAATTTTTTTATGCTTGGATTTAGGAGATTAAAACAAGCCCAAAGAATTAAGTGCTAACTAGAAAACCTCCACGATGAAAATCAAGATGTTAAAACAGTTCTCTGGAATCCAGCCACAGAGTTGAAGCAGAATTCTGTAATGTGATTATGATTTAAAATTTAAAAAAATGTTTGTGAGGCCCAAATGCCCTAGAATAGGTCAGTTACAGACCATAGTGCCTTGTTTCTCTCTCTGTCTTAAAAATGCTTCTTTTATTTTTCTCCAGAAATTAGCCCAGCAAAGGAAGAATCAGTATGACCTCCTGAAGCAGCGCATTGAAAGAGAAAAGGCCATGTTTGTCATCGCACAGAAAATCCAGACGCGTAAAGATCTTTTGGTGAGGGATTTAGTTCTGGTTCTTTGAATCTGTTTTGTTCAGGTCATTAGGTCTAGTTTAGTACGTATGCGATTCTTCACTCTGATTTTATACTGATGCTTCCAGATAACTCCTAAACATAAGTAGTCCTATTTTAATATGGAAAAAAGTGAGGAGATGAAGCATTCCAGTTGTGCCATGGCTAGTAAACCGTATCTGCTAGTCCAACTCTTACCATGTCAGCAAGGACAAAGATTCAGCTTTGAAATGGTGCTCACAAGTCTTTTCTAAAACACCGTTGCCACCTCTCAAGTACTAAGTTAATACTTTCAAGTTGCAGAGGCAAGGAACCATTTCTGTAGGTTATGAGAAGGTCTTAAAAATCCCAATGACCAAAAAATTATTTATCTCAGTGGGACTCACCAGTCACTGGTGCTTGTGACCAAAACAGATTGTGCCTGACAACCCAAAGGTGAAAAGAGCAGACAAAAACATAATTCTGCCTAAACAGTGGAAAGTGACCATTTTCCCCTAATACCGTGTCAGCCCTAGACAGGCACTTTCTTACTTATATGAGGGTAGGTTTTTTTTTTTCCTTCTTACATGCCAGCAAATATTTTATCTTGTTCTTTTTTCCAGGATAAAACTCATAAAGTAAAGGTGAAGAAAGAGACTACAAATAGTCCAGCTATATACAAATTCAAATTTCAGCGGAAACGTTAGCCATTCTATTAAATAATTGTTACCGCCTTTGCTTAGAAAGAAAGAGGATTCTACTCATGAAGAAGGACTGATAGACCGTATCAGTTTGTTTTTCACTGCAGCCTAGCACTTCGTTAAAACAAATTGCTGTGGGCCTGCGGTACCCATAAATATATTGTATCTAATTAATTGATTAATAAATCAGAGCGTTGGTTGTCTTGGTATTTACAGTGGGAAGCCACAAGAGGTGCCTGCATGGCCTAGTAATATGCACCATAAACAATCCTTGAAAAGTCAAGGTCAAAATTAAGAGTGGGAGAGGGGTTGCACGCAGCACACGGACAGAAAAGGTGCTGCGGCCTCGTGGGGTTCAGCTCTGTGGCGCACGGACCACAACACGTCCAAAACCGGAAGAGATTTCAGGTCAGCTTTTTTAGCTATCTTTTCACGCTGCTTAAAGTTGAATTCCTATCTTTCTGATCACTCCCCACCCTCCCACCCCCCTTTATTTTTCTTATTCTGCTTTATCTCCACAAAGTATTTCACTGTAGAACGTAAGAGGGCAAAGGCATTGCTAAGGGCACGTTGCTAAATTCAGGCACCGTATTAGCCAGACTATTCTGGAATGGTGTTAGCAGTGGGGAATTGTTTCTTCCACTGTACAGAAAGGAAGAAAAACTCCACCTTTGTGGATAATTTCCATAGCTGAGAAGCAGTTTGTGCTTATTCTTTCTTCTCCCGTACGATGCGGTAGTGCCAGTGCCACACCGAATTTCCCATGTTGCCTACCAGGCTTGAACAGAGGCGATACTGAAACTTGCGCTATAGGGAGACACAATGCAGGAGCCAACTGCGGGACAAAAGTTTGTCCTCTGTGTTTATGTTGCGCTTGTTGCAGTGTTGGTAGTTGGAAGGGGGGGGTTCAGCTGAAAGTGATGAAGACGCATCCTTGAGGGTCCTGGAGCAGTTCGGGCAAGTTGAGCGTCTGGGCGTAAACATTCCTCCTCTTATCTCGCTCGCTTGTACTGTGTCTGCCAATAAGCAGCTTGGTGGTTGGTAAGGGGGGGTTCAGCTGAAAGTGATGAAGACGCATCCTTGAGGGTCCTGGAGCAGTTCGGGCAAGTTGAGCGTCTGGGCGTAAACATTCCTCCTCTTATCTCGCTCGCTTGTACTGTGTCTGCCAATAAGCAGCACATGCCCATGCAAGATGGTGAAAAAAAAAAGATGCTCTTCTCCAGCTCTTCCCACTTTGGGAGTTTTCCTAGCTTCTCCCGGATGAAACGTGACCTTTTTTTTACATGCTAAAATGCAGCTTCAGCCATTGTTTCTGCCACTGCAAAGATCCCCAAGTTAGCAACTATTGTGGGGTGGATTTTTTTCTGGGAAGGATGAGGGGAGGTACTGTGCTTTGCTCTTAAAAGTGGCGGAGATGCTCTCGTGCGGGAGGTGAAGGTTGGCGATGTCCCCGTTAACGGCGGTGAACCGTCCGGTGCCC